CGTCCACATTACTCGTGCTCGTGCGTCAGAAGCTTACTGCTTCCGGAAAATCAGGATCTGGAGCTGACGAAGTGGACGCCCAAACTGGTTTGCATACAAAGCCTTCGCATTTCTTCATAACAGGTATCAGCTCCAGATCCTGATTTTCCGGCAGCAGTAAGCTTCTGACGCACGAGCACGAGTAATGTGGACGCGCCTTTACAATGAGTACAAGCTGACGGTATGTAAAGCCATGCAGTTCGGGAGAAGTCCACCGACGTTTCGGAGGAGCTCTTCTTGTCGCCCAGTACTTGGTTTCCTGATCGGCCGAAGACGGTGAAAATACGTTCCTCCAAAACGTCACCTGATTTCTACCGAACTGCACATTTTTACAATCCAGAATAACGTAACGCGTAAGTACTGCAGCTGGTTGATTTCCTGCCGCCTCAACTAAATACATTACCACGGCTTCCTACTTTCAATTAATAATTCCTGTTGTATTTTTTAAATATACACTTCAGTACGGAGTTGGAATATTTAATGACTCTCCCATGAACGAGGCTAGACAGTGTAGACAAAAGAAGATAAAGCGCTCCCTGTAACACACCGTGGAGGCCCATAGGATTGTGAGACGTCGAGGCTCCCACATTTTCTAGACAATCGATTCACGGATGGCGGTGAGGTCAGACTTACGCGCTGGCCGTCCTTTACACCGGCAAGAAGATTCCTGGTACTCATTTCTGTTAGAGGCTGAGTAGACCCCAGGGTCATAACGCGGCTGGAAGGATTAGGTCAGTTGAAAAATCCAATGACCTCATCGGGAAGCAAATGAAGTATACGAAACAAAATTGGCAAGACGCTGACGAAAAGTGCGCAGTACAATGAACGCTAATTAAGTGGGGTACACAAGAAATCGTTCCTGCTGTCCGATTGATCCAATACAACAGAACTGCACCGTGTGGGTGTTGGTGTATTCTGAACTAACTTTCCAAGTATCGCTCCCTCTCACTAGTGAAGCAACAACGCATTATCACATCGCTGCAACTGCACTAGGAAAACGACAATTAATGGTATAAATACTAGCTAAGAGCTTGATGACTTAGGGGGTTGGAGTTCGAGTCCCTGTATGGGTAAGAATTTTCACTTCTTCACGTCCACCAGACAGGTTTTGGGACCCATTCCGCCTCCTATCCAATGGATATCAAGGACTCTTTCTACGGGGGGGAACGTAGCCGGGGCGTAAAGCTGACCATTCACCTCTAACTTGCGCTTAGGTAAAGTATACGTGGATCTAAATGTCCAATCCCCCATATGCCTACATGGCGTAGTGCTTAATTAAGCACAGGGACTTTATTTTCTAATGATAAAAACGTTTTTAAACTATTAAACCCTGGACATAATACTGCAAAAAGGAAACGGCAAAACTGGCAGAAAACAAGTTGCGAATAAAACATACAGGAATGTACCAGGTGGAAAGGTCAGTATTCAGGGAGGTCATAGTAGCTGTCATTCTAAGCAAAGAAATGTGTATGTTCTAGTCCGAACCGTTTCCGAGATAGAGCCATTTCAACACGCCATGTCCTCACACGACTTGCACCGAGACAGAGCTATTTCACTGCACAGTACACTGTACAGACGAGCAACACGCCATGTTCTCACACGAGCTGCCCTGAGCCAGAGCTATTTCACTGCACAGTACACTGTACACTGTACACTGTACAGACGAGCAACACGCCATGTCCCCACACGAGTTGCACCGAGACAGAGCTATTTCACTGTACAGTACACTGTACACTGTACAGGCGAGCAACACGCCATGTCCTCACACGAGTTGCAAAGTGCATTGATGTTGACTGTGGAATTCTCGAAAATGTATTACACTGGGTAAACTGTATCAACTCTGTCACTTGAGCAATAAATATCGGCATTAGAAACAGTACGTAATATCGCTTTCTTATCAACAATCTTGGAACTGAGCAGCGAAATCTCGAAAACCGTTCGGAATAGGATACATGTACATATATACTTTTTTGCACTCTATGACCTCCCAGAATACAGACCTTACATCCTGGAACAAACTGTATACCCCAAACGCAATCTTGCATAATTATGCATTACAACATTTTTATGACATGACTGCAGTGGAACTGAGGTGTGTTACCTGAACCGAAGGAAGCTGAACATGCATTTCCTATGTATAAAACATTCCTGCCTGATCATTCATCAGCCATAACGAGGCATAACCTTGTAGAGATATCAGTAATCTTGGTGCAATACAGCAAATCTACCAAATTTCGTGTAGCTCTGTATGGCAAACAGGTAATCCTCGATGCGGACTACACTCGTAATGGTGAATTTCAGAGTCCCGTTCCAGGAAATATGGTATGTAACAAAATTGTGTACATTTACCCCATACTTGAAAACACCTTACCGTGCTTCAGGTCACGTGCTACAGCCGAATATCACCTCAGAGCCATCTCGGGATACTTCGTTCAATCACATTTGACATTGAAGAAGACTGTCACAAGGTCACAAAATCCCTTTCCGTGTATCCGTGTCTTACTTACCTGAAAGAAAGAAAAATAAAAGAAAATGAATGGAGATTCTCACAGCCTTGTTTATGAGGAATACTACCTTCCGGAATACAACACTCGGCTTGCCACCTGCTTTCACGCTGGTATCTTGCTTGGCATATTCGACCCTCAAGATGGAGGCCCCATGTTCCTCCGAAACGTCACTTGACTTTCAACGGTCTATACTATGTCATACGAGTATCCCACAAGATAGTACTCTTCAAGAAATAAAATGTTCAAGCACTTCGATACAAAGCTTCTCATGCACCAGGGCTGGGAAAACTGTATAGCCGAAAGGCCACATTATGAATTTCAAGTGTTCTGTAGGGCCAGAAACAGATGACGTATGTGTCATTTGTTCGCCACGATCATGCAACATGATGCCGCTGCTTGCTGATATTACAGAAATGTTAATGTAAATTAAAGATAGAGTAGGCAATTTTTACACTAGCTCCCCGGATTGCAGTTTGCTCACTCCTGCCTTGAACTGCCACAAATACTCCACGTTTCCCATGGCGTCATTACAGTTCAAGGAACATCTCCCCTTACATCATAAGGAAATCAGTTTGGAAGCTAGGCTGCAATCGCATCAGGGGGCAGGTTTCGTATTATCACGTGACTGAATGACTATGGACGGGGTTTGGATTGGTAATCGGATTTACTGAACAATTACAGAACGCAACTACAAATAAATACGACGGTCTCAATAAGCTACACACTCCGAAGATCACTGTAACTACGTGGTACTATACGCATAAAATCTTCTCAGTATTCACTAGCCGTTACTTGCTAGCGGCTCGCAACAGCGGACGTTCATCTAATAGTGAAAGTTAAGTTACGACAGACGGTCAGTAGGCCATCATCTGTACCCCAAGACAACATTTTTGTTACTGACAGCTGCGGGTTTGTTGATGTGGGACGCTCTCTCTGACGAGAGGGCGGGTCTGTCATTTACAATTGCTGCTGGCCATCGCTAGTGCAGTCATTCTCGAGGCCGGATCCCACGCGACTCATGACCACATTCTACCCCTTCAGATTCGAGACTCCCCAACCTAGAGGTCCAGGACCCCGTATTTATATCCCACAGATACAGAGTGGCCCAGTTATATCCCCACACATTAGATTTCCTTTTCGTCGCCCCCTACGGCTGTCAGGGCTATGGTGGAAGTATTCCAACTCCCTCCAGCCAATCAGTTCGTCTTGGCACCAAGCTCAATGAGACTCGCGACCAGAGATATGTTTTGCAACTGAACCCTTGTAGTCGTAGTCCTTACATAACAGCCTCTCTGACAACAAGATAGGTTTGCCTCTTATGAATGTGCTTGGCCTTTCATCAAGTGTACGTATCGCACATAGAGCATGCTATTGGAAATTCTTCCTTTTGCGCTATATACAAGTCCTCTGTCAGCACAGGCTTTATAGAGCAGATCATGTCGATCTTAGGTATCTTATGCTACAACGGCAGCTTAGTCACTTGAACGGCTGTAACGCCTCTTACATTTTCTCTGTCTGGCTTCGCCTTGTCCTATACTACGAATATCTCCATTTTCATGATTTTGTATGACTTCTGCTTGCTGCCTACGTAATTTGGTTGTATAATCGTACACCTACGGAAGGTTGAAAGCCGTGCTCAAATAGAGGACCAGTGTGCACCTTGGAAAATTTCCAGTGGTGGGGAGAATATTGTATTGAAAGCGCTGCACTCTTAAGTGGTAGGTGTCTGCCGCTAATTCATGGCGGGACAGTTATAGGTCATTACTGCGGTGGTTTCTGAACTACCAGCCCTCGTTATATAGCCCCGGCACGAAACGTGTTCACAGAGCTGTTCTCCAGCAACGGCTGTTGTACTGTCTCATGTTTACATAGCTGTTAGTTAGCAATAGGTCCACATGTCATAATACCTTTCTGTGTGTGGTTTACTTGGCCACGCTGCCTGTAATTAATTATAATTAACTAGCGAATTAAAGAAAACCCCTCTAGACTTGAATTATGTAGGTGCTTGTTTCTGTTCTTGGCCAAAACCCCAGCTTTACAGGCTGAAGATTGTAATTGTTTTCCTCAGTCCCTTTTGGCAGTCACAATACTATTCGACTTTATATAAAGGGACTGAGGAAAACAATTACAATCTTCAGCCTGTAAAGCTGGGGTTTTGGCCAAGAACAGAAACAAGCACCTACATAATTCAAGTCTAGAGGGGTTTTCTTTAATTCGCTAGTGGGGGAGGTGGAGCCCAGCTGGGTCCATTCGGCACGGCGGCCACTGATTGGCCGATTCTACGTGTCCCGGGTGATTATGATGGAGAATTTGGTGGAATGAAGATTAGCACGGGAAACCGAAGTACTCGGAGAGAACCCGCCCCAGCGCCACTTTGTCCACCACAAATCCCACTTGACCAGACCCGGGATCGAACCATGGGCCGCCGCGGTGGGAAGCCAGCGACTAAGCGCTTGAGCTATGGCGCGGCCTAAGTCTAGAGTGTTACCGTTACATTAACCTGCTCAATTCCATACTTTTACCTGATGACGGAAGCAGAGCCATCATCCGAAACGTCTCGCTTCTTTAGTTAAAACGAGACAGTAAAATATGTCCAATATTTGAGTTAATTTAACAATACGCAGTCCCCACAAAACTAGACACGGAATCCTTCAGACGGACTAATTTTTGGACCACGCTGTACCTAGCTACAAAGCTTTTAATGGCTGGGTTCTGCAAATTAGTCATAAACGTCTGCTGATGAAGCTGCATGGGTCGCGACGCGATTGTTTCTCGCTGATTAACCGAGGGAAAGCACTTCCCAGGTCTGTCAAGTCCATGCAGGAAGAACACACCGTGTTTGTACATACTGTTGACTTGCTGTTTGTTGGACGGCGTTTTCAGTAGATCAGACAATATAGCTACGATCTAATCGTAGGATAACTGCATGGAGCTGAGCCCTTCTTGAGACGCCGCCAGCTATGTAGATACTCACGAACTTCACAGCATGTTATGGAACATTGCCGTGTTCATAAAAGCCCTCCACTGTCCCTATCCAGAGCCAGATCAATCCAGTCCATACCACCCCATCTTATCACTCTAAGATCCACTTTAATATTTTTCACTCACCTACGTCTTTGTCTTCCTAGTGGTCTCTTTCCTTCCCGCATTCCCACCAATATCATATATGCATGCCTCTTCTCCACATTCTTGCTATATGCCCTGCCCATCTCATCCTCCTTGACTTGATCATTTTAATTATACTTGGAGAAGAGTACAAGTTAGACACCAAGTTTCACACATATCCAGAACCACAGGCAATTTACATTCTTGTATAGTCTACAGTATATTGCTGATAAAAGAATGTGAAAGAATCTTGAGGGAAGTGGACAGGGCCTAATATGAGATATGACCTAGACATCTGCCTGGTGACATCGGGTCGAGACAGTAAACCCCAAACCGTTGAACAGTCTCCATTCGGCGGTACCCTCCTTCAACGTGCGGGCTACGGCAATTAGCAAATATCATCATCATCATCATCATCATCATCATCAGTAATCTGTCAAGACGACAGGTCCACAGTCTCTTCCAAAACAATTCCTCCACTTAATGCGATCTAGAGCTTTCTCCTTCAAATAACAGTATCCTCTTCTGTCCCCAAGGTCATCCATCATCTTCTTACGCCTTCTTCCTCGTCTTCTCGTCACTTCTATCCGCCCCTCTATCTTTCCTTCAATAACTTCTTTTAGAAGGCAGTTTCTACGTAAAACATGACCAATCCAATTAGCTTTCCGTTTTCTTATTTCATGTAGGATATTCCTCTGCTCACTGACTCCAATTAACACTTCTTCATTTCTCACATAATCGGTCCAAATGCCCCATTAAAGGGGGGAGGGGCGACTATTCACGTTCCGACCTTCTGGGTTCCCACAGACTGCGTACGAACGTTCCTAACGAAGAAACTGCCTCAATCCTCAGGGTAGAAAGATGAAGGTAAAAGACGCACCGAAACGTTGGTGTCTAGATAACAGAAGACACGATCTCATAGCCCAGATTGACCCAACCTTCATCACAGAGTAGGTGTCTCCCCACCTCACCTGAGGACAGAAACAGATCCAGTTTCCGAAACGTTGTGTCTCTAGGTTTTGGAATACTGGACGATGGACAAAAGTCCATATGACCCAGTTAATTCTGAAAGTTATACACCGTCGTCAGAATCCTCTTTAAACTACGTATTTTAGGTATGTTGCATATAACAAAGTTCATGCCAAATTCAAATTTATAATAATCAATTCAATTTTTCTATTTCCCAGAATATCCAACCACCCAGCTACCTGGTCGCCCTAACAAGGAGGGGGGCACAATTTAGAAAAGTAACTGGTTTGAAGAAATAATGGCTGTTCATCTTCCGCGGTGGCGTAGTTGGTTGAGGCACTATGATACAACTGTAAGGTCGCGGGTTCAAATCCCGGATATGTGAATGGAATTTTAAATTGACCTAATCCTTTCAGCAGCACTATGACTCTGGGGTCGACTCAGCCTCTAAAAGGAATACCAGGAATCTTCTTGGGGGGTAAAGGACGGCCGGCGAATAAGGCTGACCTTACCGCCATCTGAGCCGATTGTCTAGAAAATATGGGAGCCTCGACGTCTCAAAAGCCTATGGGTCTCCAAGGTCTGTTACAGGAATATCTTTACCATTTTTTTTCCTTGTTCACAATCATACGAAACACACACACACACACAAATATAGTATANATAAAAGTGGGGATGCTTTTATGTGACAAGGTTGCCAAATAGTACGCAAAACTAGTAATGGTGACTTTTGTACGCCTGGCTGAACTAGTCAGTCAAAACAAACTACCGTATTTACGCATGTATAGGCCGCGTGCGTGTATAGGCCGCAGCACAATTTTCAGACAGAAATTATAGAAAAAAATAATTTTCTTGGAATATTATTTCAGGAGTAGAAATTATTCCGAAATTTGGCAACGTTAATTTTTTTAAAATGAAGTGTGATT